TCTTTATTTAGTTGCCAATTGTTATCATTTATTTCTCGATTGCGTGCCATTTTATGATACGTTTTTCAACTTAAATACTCCTTACTTATTTATGTTACCCTTCTTGCAACTTTAGTAAAGCTATTTTGATAATTCCCATTATATTCCATAATGCTTTTATTTAAGAACTGAGAAACTTGCAAATGAAAAATTCGCACATGCATCATGGCTGGGGAACAGGAAAATATAAGAACAAAGATCAACAATGCAAAGCGACATTAAGAGATGCAACCCACGACAAAATACAGTCACACTGGAGTACAACAAAGGCATTCAGTAGGGCGCCGACCAAAAAGCAAGAGAGGGCACAAATGTCGAGACATGGAGTGGTCGTACCAGCAAATGATAACAAATAACAACTTAATAAAGTAACCCCTAAATACCAAAGCCATATCATTTCTAAAAGCATTTGAAAAACACACTTGCATATATAACATCTTAAAAAAATATCTGTGACAAATCATTATGTTCTTCGCTGAATCCTTTGGCAGTCTAATATTTGACTGAAAAAAAATGCAACCAGACATGCGTGAGCAACAAGTTTGCATCTAAAATGCTTTACTTTCGTGTACTGAAACTTTATTTAGACATGCAAATTCAAATATTTACACAGTATTGAAAGATACATATTTTGTCTTGTTTGATGAACTTTAAAACTTACAGATGCGAAAAAATGCATGAACATAAAATTTGCCCTGGACTGTCAATTCTCACATCTCAAAATATTTACATAACCAGTTTATATCTTCAATAACTTCGTCATATCAGAAGCTTGGAAGCTGAGACCTTAAACCTAGTGTGCAAAAACATAGCTTTAAGGAATGGGCATATCAAAGAATTTCAAAATAAATTACAAACCCACTTACCTGAAGAAACAGATAATATTCATAAACATAACCAATTTATATCTTCAATAACTTCGTCATTTCAGAAGCTAGGAATCTGAGACCTTGTTTTAAGGAATAGCTTGTTTTAAGGAATAGGCATATTGCTCACTTACCTCGAACATGTCGAACGTTGTAAATATTCATGACTCGGTTGCCTTTCTGTCAAGTTTGCAACAAATTTTCTTGATTGAACCAAGTGAGCAACCACTTTACGTCCTGTCCCTTGTCATTACGGTGAAAATATAATTATTTAAGCAAAAGAAAAAATACAGATGTTTATGTTATCCGCTCAATTTTGATATTGAAATCCGTTTAATTTTAAATGAACTGTTGCAAATTTAAAGCATGGGAAACCCTTTGCATAGTCTTAGCAGGTTATTTAGCAGCATGCCCCCAGATTCATGCTAAATTTCATGACAATTTCCAAAAGAATTGAAATATTGTAAAAGGAACAGACAGTAATTTACACATTGCAAACGGCACCTATGTACAATATACGTAAGTGGTGCAAAATAGCCCTTACTTCATTAGTCATGCAGTGGGAATAGTGTGATAAATGCTGCAAAATCAGTCATTTATGGCGCAAAACATGCAAATCATTAATCTTGAATCTGTTTACTTTTCTTAAATATTAGAACCCTTTCCTCAAGTTTGATAATGATTGTCTTAAATAGTTTGGGTTCTGTGGAGGCATGCAGCTTTAAGGATTAAACATTTATTTAAACAGGAAGGAAATTTTGTTTCGTTTAACTAGTAATTTTGAAAGCAAATAAAGGGGGAAACTTAGAAGGAACTTTAATGAGTAGGCGTAGGCCTATGTGAATTAATATGAAAATGAAATCTGATAACTTGTACTGATATAAAATATAATATGACATCCTGTTTACATTTGAATTAACAATGGCCGTCTTGTAAAACTCCCTGGTGCAGATCTTAATCGTATTTGGATCACGATAATAACACATATTATGAGTTATGACAAAAGACGTAATATTATGTTATATGATACTTCTTTCATTTACATTTACGTCCGGGTGATTTAAGATGTTGCGGTGCGGGTAACTACGTTTTTAAAAGTACAATTTTTCCATTTTCTATGAACTTCTGAGCAGCTGCATTATCATGAATTAGGCAAAGACCTCTTAGTCGGGTAGAAGGTCTACCTTTTTTCCTTTGATCGCACATTGGTCTTATAAAATATGTCAGTAACAGTTACTGTTCGTCCATTTGGAACTGGAATTACAACAAAAAGTCCATCAGAATGGACAAATATAGAATACAATATGCCTTTTCCCGCGTTTTTTTATTCGTGTTGCAATGAGCTAATGACTGATTTATCTTGCTCTTTGCGTAACCCCGCGCATTTTTAAAATGTCTCTGGAGCTCAAGATAACACACCAAAGTTTCTTCAACAGTAATTAAGGAGTACGGATATTCGACGATAGTCACATTTTTTTGTACTTTTATAGATTTATTTGTCACACTCTTATAAACTGGCCTCGATTATATAATTCCATGTATGTCGTCTGTTATCTTGTTTAATTAGATTTTCCACAGCATCAACATAACATGATAAGCTTTGGTAGCAACGGTCCTAGGCTGACCGGGACGGTGACATCTTTTAAGTAATTTTCACAATCTTTTAATGTTTTGTACCATCTAAAATCTGATTATTAGACAACACAGAGGCCCCATATATCTAACACACATGTATGTGAAACTGATATGACCTTATTTCAAATCTTGACGCATTTTCCTTGTACTTGCAGTAAAACAGCTAGTTTAATCACAGGAGCTTGACATTCTATATCAATAATTGAAAAATATAAAACGGCAAATATACCCCTCTATACAATAAATAAACACAAGGAATGCAACACATTTTGCACACCTGATACAAATTTAAATACACGCATGAAAAATCAATTTCAACAAACAGGTTTAGCCATTTCAATACACAGACAGTTCAAAGTTATACCTTTTACAACCGCTGATATTTTAAATCAAAGCATTACATAATAATAAACACAGGTGCTTGAAACAAACATTTTAAAGTTTTATATGGGCTGTATACTATAATAAGATATCTTAATATACATATATAGACCGGTTATGTAAAATATTTGATTATGTGACTAGCGCCTGTGATAATAAATTGCAAATATTTACTCAAATGTCAATAAAATATTTTGTAGAGTGCTCTCCATGCGATGACGTCACTTATTACACTGCTACGGACTGAAGATAATCATTCATTTTCCACCTAAAAACCTCTTTTTTATAGCATAAGTTTTTAAATAAAGTTTGAATAACTAAGGTGTAAAATTATTTACCTATTTTCGTTCTTTTTATTAAACCGACACAAAATAAACTTCCAAAAACCAATTGATGAACGTAATTCTAGCGTAAAAGGGGAGTAACTTTGGCTTTCTCATCACGACATTTCCATGCCATTTCATACACACACTTCATATTTCAAAGTCTATAATAATATTAGACGTTGAAATATGAGTTTTTCAAAACGGCCTATAATAAATTCAGTACATGTGCTGGGATAGACAAATATACATTTTATTTAGATTTTCAAGGCGTTTTGTGGTCCACAACCCAAAAATGATTTCATGGTGTGCGTAAATTGCTGTTGTATAGATAATTCATTTGGTGATTTCATCATAAAGAATGACCTTTCAACTAAACTCATGCTATAGAAAATAGATTATTAGGGAAAACAATAAATAATTTATATTCAGCCTGGAGCAGTGTAGTCAGTGATGTAAGCGCATGGAGTGCCAGACAAAATAACTTGTTGACATTTGAGTAAATATTTGCAATTTATTTTTATGTAATGCTTTGATTTTCATATTTTTATCTGAACTTAGACCCCTATGTGTGACCGTGACCTTGGACGCAGATACCTGAATTTTGCACGAGACACTCCGCCTTACTATAGTGAATATTTGTGCAAAGTTATATTGTAAACCTCTATGCATGTAGAAGTTTTGCTCCTGACAAGAGTTTTTCAATCACCTCCAAGTGTGACCTTGACCTGTGACCCTACTTATACACATGACACTACTACTCATAGTTGTGAACTATGAAGTTTCATTAGAATCGCTCAATGCATGTAGGAGATATCCTCTTGACAAACTATCTATATTTTTCATCTTTTGTAACATTGACTTTGCATATACCTAAATTACATGTTTCACACATGTAGACATGATAATGACCTTTAGTGTTTCAATCCCTCAATAAATGATGACTACATGGTCCAAATACACATTTTCATATTTTTACCTGAACTGTGACCCCTATGTTTGACCTTGACCGCAGGGACCTAAATTTTGCTGGGATACTCCGTGTCACAATGGTGAACATTTGTGCCAAGTTATATTGAAATCCCTCTATGCATGTAGGTTTGCTCCAGACAAGGGTTTTTCAATGACCTCTTAGTGTGACCTTGACCTTTGACCCAGAGACTTGGTTCAAGCACATGACACTGCTTTTCATAGTGGTGAACATTCCTGTGAAGTTTCATTACAATCTCTCCATGTGTGTAGGAGATATGCTCTGGACAAAATCTCTTTATTTTTATCATCTTTAGTGACCTTGACCTTGCATATATTAACCTAAATTACATTGTTCACACCAATAGTCATAATAATGACCATTTTTGTTTCAATCCCTCAATTAATGGAAACCAAATGGTCCAAATACATATTTTCATCTGAACTTTGACCTCTATGCGTGATCTTGCCCGCATGTACCTGAATTTTTACACTCGACTTCACAATGGTGAACATTTGTGCTAAGTTTTATTAAAATCCCTCTTTGCATCCGGACAAGCGTTTTTCAATAGCCTCTAAGTGTGACCTTAACCTTTGACCTAGAGACCGGGCTTATGCACATGACATAGCTTCTCATAGTGGTGAACATTTCTATGAAGTTTTGTTAAATGCCTGTATGTGCGTAGATATGCTCCAAACATAAATTTGACGCCACCCAACCCGCCTGCCTGGGGAAAACTATAATGTGACTGTTTTACAAATGGGGTGAATAAAAAGTAGAAGGAAGTAACTAAAAACTTTTTTTATTTCTAAAATAAATAACAACGCTTAACAAAAACACAGATCTAAAGAAAGCATATATGACATTATTGCAACATGTTGACAAAATGGTAAAATTGGTATCATCCTTCACACATTCAAGTGCCAATAACACCCCCCCCCCCCCCAAAAAAAAAAAAAAAAAAAAAGATGCTCCTATTTAAACATAACAACAGTGAAAATGGTCATTACAATTGGGTCTAAAATTACATTTTCTTACGAATTTTTCATCAAAATGAAATGTGTAAGAACATGTTGATTGATATGAAAATGTTTAGTTCTATATTCACAGTGACAGGGATTCAATAATAAATACTCATTTATCACTAAAGGTTTCCCGTTAAAGTTCATTAATATACTCATTTATCACTAGAATTCCCCATTTAAAGCTCATTATATATCAATAAAAGTTCTGTTTAAATTACTTATTTATAAAGAAAGATTCCCTTTTAAAATACTTATTTATCAATTAAGGTTCCTTTTAAAATACAAATTCATCAATAAAGATACTAAGCAGGCAGTGTACTAATAAATATAAAATATTGAACACAATTACAACATGTACACAGTTGGTTTGAATGATTAAAGATGATGCTCTAATTTACCTATATTCTAAAAAAAAAGTACCAATACTTCAAAGAAAATCACTGTATTTCTTACGTAAAAGAATATCAGAAACATGTAAGTACTTTGCCTTCTATTAAACATACTGTCTCAGGATTGTATAGCTTGTGACAGGTATTTATTTCTATATTGTGAAAAAGTTCTTTTATAAATATACAAATAATATCATATTTCTCAATTGATAATGTCCGATCTTTTCCATCAATATCCCTACCATATCAAATGCTTGTTCCCCCGCTTTATAGAATATCGCATTGGTTCATCAAACAGCTCTTCTATAATATTTCATTTTTATTTTGCTCTCAACATTATAGCACTTGTAATATACGATTTTTTGTAACCAGATGATTCATGCTTTAATTATAAGGAGTTGACTACAGCGTTGGTGAACTCTGCTGTGGTAGCATATCCTCCCATATCATGTGTCCTCACCTGCAAACACAAATACTTCACCTTAATGTACATACTATAAAACAATAACATCTTGATAGGGAAATTCTAGGGTTGCTCTTTGGCTAAGTAGCTAATGTTGCTTACTTCAAATAAATTTGTCTCTTTCCAAAATGGGTGTTTAAATCCTCTTAACAATAGCATGAGAAAGCTATCCCGGTAACTTCATTCTGACAGCACCACATTCTACTCATGCAACCAAAGCAGATAAAGATCAGGCGAGCGTTTCACTAATATTCCTAAGTTTAGCGTATTTTTTTACACAAATTTGGACATACATTTACGTTAGTTGCGGTTCACTAAACAGTGCGTGCAATTTACGCCAGCAGTAAGTGAGCGTAACTTTACCTATGCAAATGCCTAGCTAAGAAAGTTTAGTGAAACGCAAATAAATACTTAAGTTCTGCTTACACAAAAAGTTATGTTAATAACTCTTAGTTAAGATCACGCAAGTACGTTAGTGAAACGCACCCCAGCTTTCCCTCTTATCACAGTCTGCACTGTTTACTATTCAGTCAGTACATATTATGGAATTTCTGCTATATCCTGTTTCACTAGTAAAGCTGGAAAGTCACCATATGACCTAGGCAGTGTCCACACCACTTTAAATCCAAAAGGTTTATTTATGCTATAATATGGCTTTTGGTTTATTTATGCTATATGGAACTGAACCATACAGTCATGGAATAGTCCCTTTTTTTCTCTAACAAAAAATATTTTCCAGAACTTTGAAAGAGCATAAGCTTGAAAAAGTAAGGATGATATGTCTGATATTCTTTTAAAAAACTAATTTAAAGACTAGAAATGTGTCATCATGCCACGGATGCCCCCGCATGCAGCCAAAATTTCAGATGTTATAATATTTAGTTCCAAATTTGTTTGCACAAATTATTTTTTTCATTTTAAGTTCAAAGCCCTTAAAACTTTTCAATGTTAACACAAACCATTTCCATACAATGTTCAAGGCACTGAAATTATTCAGTCTTAACCTTTTGAAAATAGCATATTTTATATTTGTAGCCAATTTTGGCTACATACATTTCCACAAAAGTATGAGTGCTGAAACTGAAAGTTCAAAATTTTTCCAACATTCAAGAAAGATAAGTTTGTCCAAAATCATTGAACCACAACCAAATTCAAACTTAAACTGCTTATTCCTAAGATGTATCTATATTATTTTCAAAGTGAAAGGGACATAACTCTGCCAAAAAATCATCGAACCATGACCAAATTCCAACTTGACCTGCCCATTCCTCTGACATATCCATATGTCAAATTTGAGTTGAATATGTAACACTGTTGGGTAGATAATGAACAGAAACTGCAAATTTCATATTATTTTCAAAGTGAAAGGGGCTCTACTCTGCCAAAAATCATTGAACCATGACCAAATTCGAACTTGGCCTGGGCATTCCAAAAACATATCCATATGTCAAATTTGAGTTGAATGTGTTGTACCGGTGGGGAGATAAACAGAAACTGAAAATTTCATATTATTTTCAAAGTGAAAGGTGCATAACTCTGCCAAAAATCATTGAACCATGACCAAATTCGAACTTGGCCTGGGCATTCCAAAAACATATCCATATGTCAAATTTGAGTTGAATGTGTTGTACCGGTGGGGAGATAAACAGAAACTGAAAATTTCATATTATTTTCAAAGTGAAAGGGGCATAACTCTGCCAAAAATCATTGAACCATGACCAAATTTGAACTTGACCTGCACATTCCTTTGACATATCCATATGTCAAGTTTCAGTTGAATGTGTTGTACCGTTGGGGAGATAATGAACGGAAACTGAAAATTTCATATTATTTTCAAAGTGAAAGGGGCATAACTCTGCCAAAAATCATCGAACCATGACCAAATTCGAACTTGGCCTGTATTTTATCATGACATATCCATATTCAAGTTTGAGTTGAATGTGTTGTACCTTTGGGGAGATAATGAACGGAAACTGAAAATTTCATATTATTTTCAAAGTTAAAGGGGCATAACTCTGCCAAAAATCATCGAACCATGACCAAATTCGAACTTGACCTGTTTTTTCTCATGACATATCCATATGTCCAATTTGAGTTGAATGTGTGCAACCGTTCTTAAGATAATGAACGGAAACTGGTGATGACGGAATGACAGAATGACGAAAGGACGGAATGACGGAACAGGGTAACACTATATGCCCCGGCCATTACATGGCGGGGGCATAATAAAAATGCACATAAGAATTTGATCAATAGATGCTTTATACTAATACCTTTCCAGCTTTTACTACTTTCTGGACAGCATCTTCAATAAGCTTCGCATGATAGTCCAAACATAAATGTCGTAACATATTACAGCCTGCAAACAACACAGCTGTTGGATTAGCTATGTTCTTCCCTACAGCTGTTGCAAATGAATGTCTGGCTCCCTAAAAATATAAAATAAATTGAAAAATCATTAGAAAATTTATATAAACTTTGTACATACAGATATTAAGTAGAGAGATATCTTAGTTCATCTTTGGTCAATGAAATACATGAAATATACTTGAATACAGATTTCTTGGATTGACTAGAGAAATGTTTACCAGACTGCCTAAGATTTCAGCATACGGAAAAAATTGAGTGAAAACCTACAAATACATAAAATATGAAACTATGTCTAATAATAGATGCAAGCTCTAAGCTCAGATATAAAATTTTAAGTGCACTTTTATGAAAGAAATCGAAACACTGTCAATGCTTAACAGCAGTCTTAAGTATTTTCCTAAGAAACTTTTTCAATTAGATTTTTGAGTCATCCAGTTACGTGTATAATGGGCCAAAAAAGTATATTCACAATCTGACCTACATTCACAAACTTCTTATCAACAAACCATACCAGTATATCTTCCATTATAAAAAGCTTAAAGGGACTCCACTGAGGTTTTTTTTCTACATGACCAGAATGGAAATATTTTTCCAACATTCCTGTACCATTTTATATTGGTCACAACCAATAACTTGTATGCAAATTTAAGACCTATCTCTCACCCCATTTTTATAGAATAATCATTTTTTTTGTGCAAAAAGAAAAGCGTTCAAAATCGGGCTAAGAATAATATATTTTCAATTCAATTCTTAGTACATTTGTATATGTCTTCATCATATTTTGTCGATTTTTCCATTTTAAGTTCATTACTTGATTTATGTAAGAATTTAAAATTTTATATTTTAGGCTTTTTGTCCTTAGTGAAGCTCCTTTAACAACTACTGGTACATGTGCATGTATCTCCCAATAATGTCCAACCTGTCACTCGTACCTACACATGATTGTTAAAGATCCTGTATGTTGCAATTAAAGTTGTTACCATGTATGTATTCTAGGCTTAATGAGGGTCCATCAGCCCTTTCAGGCACTGAGAGTACGGACCCCCCGGACATGTCACCATTCATGTCCTTAAATGTTACTATATGTATCAACCAAAAGGTAGCCTATAAATTTTGAATTCAGTAATTCACTGAATGATACTAAAATATGTATGCAAGTCGATTTTAAAAAGGAGAGTTGTTACCACACTTAAGTGAAATTTTATATGTATATAATTATGCTTCTAAAACAATTTTCAAACATCATAGAATATGTAAAATATGAACTGCAAATATTTGTCCACATTATATGTAATCATTAAAAAATAATGCATTCATTTCTTATTGAAAAATTTGACTTAGACTTTATAGAAAATAAATTTCTAATTACCTCCCTTTATTAATATGAAACGTAAATTTGGTAATGTCTTTACAAATAATGAAAATCTTCATTTGAGCATTATATTAATGTTTGAAACTAGAAATGTGTCATCATGCCACGGATGCCCCCGCATGCAGCCAAAATTTCAGATGGTGCATTAATTATTTTTTATTTTAAGTTCAAAGCCCTTAAAACTTTTCAATGTTAACACAAACCATTTTCATACAATGTTCAAGGCACTGAAATTATGCAGTCTGAACCTTTTAAAAATAGAATATTGCATATTTGTAGCCAAAATAATGGCTAAAAGTATTAAAAGTAAAAACTGAAAGTTCAAAATTTTTCCAACATTCAGGAAAGATAAGTTTGTCTAAAATCATTGAACCACGACCAAATTCAAACTTAAACTACTTATTCCTAAGATGTATCTATATTATTTTCAAAGTGAAAGGGACATAACTCTGCCAAAAAATCATCAAACCATGACCAAATTCAAACTTGACCTGCCCATTCCTTTGACAAATCCATGTGTCAAATTTAAGTTGAATAGGTAACACTGTTGGGTAGATAATGAACAGAAACTGTAAATTTCATATTATTTTCAAAGTAAAAGGGGCATTACTCTGCCAAAAATCATTGAACCATGACCAAATTCGAACTTGGCCTGGGCATTCCAAAAATATATCCATATGTCAAATTTGAGTTGAATGTGTTGTTTCATTGGATAAACGGAAACTGAAAATTTCATATTACTTTCAAAGTGAAAGGGGCATAACTCTGCCAAAAATCATTGAACCATGACCAAATTTGAACTTGACCTGCGCATTCCTTTGACGCATCCATATGTCAAGTTTGAGTTGAATGTGTTGTACCTTTGGGGAGATAATGAACAGAAACTGAAAATTTCAAATTATTTTCAAAGTAAAAGGGGCATAACTCTGCCAAAAATCATCGAACCATGACCAAATTCGAACTTGACCTGTATTTTCTCATGACATATCCATATGTCAAGTTTGAGTTGAATGTGTTGTACTGTTGGGGAGATAATGAACGGAAACTGAAAATTTCATATTATTTTCAAAGTAAAAGGGGCATTACTCTGCCAAAAATCATCGAACCATGACCAAATTCGAACTTGACCTGTATTTTCTCATGACATATCCATATGTCAAATTTGAGTTGAATGTGTGCAACCGTTCTTAAGATAATGAACGGAAACTGATGATGACAGAGTGAAAGGACGGAATGACGGAACAGGGTAACACTATATGCCCCGGCAATTACATGGCGGGGGCATAAAAATTGAAACCATGAAAAAAATGAGTTACAGGATCTTTAAGGCAGTGAAAAAAAATGGGACACAAGTTAAAACCTGTTCAAATATTGCAGTATCGTCACTATAGCTTTCTCCGGGCACGACTCCCGCTCCACCTACAAGACCAGCTGCCAGGTTATCTATAATGTTACCATACAAGTTGGGCATAACCATAACATCAAACTGATGGGGATTTGATACTAACTGAAACATAAATCAATCATTATCATAAAATAAAACAAATAATTTAAATTGCTTTAAATATATACTAAACTTATCTCTATATAAAATCTTTTTAGCATGAAATGATTATCTGTATTACTGAAAACATTCACTATTTTGAATTTGATGAAATATATAAACCTTTTTACAGATGTCTCAAAGAAATTGCTGTTTACGATTATGCATGTATAAATGCATTCATTTTCCCCCAAACAACATCAAAATTTGTCAGATCTTTAAGCCACATACAAGAGACACTACACTTATATTGGTGTAGCCTTTTGTTGTTGTTGGGTTAAAGCCCTGCAGGTCAAACAGACACTGTAATGGTCATATGGCAGTTTATATTGCTTTTCAGCTCTACTGATGGTAGAAGGACTCCCAACCTCCTCTCAGCCATATCTAAGGTTGAAAAAGGCACCAAAATGGAACCATTGAGCTTTCATCTTCTTGTTGGACAATTTCTTCGCAATGAAGAACCCAGTCCGTTAATTTAAACCCAAAGCAGTGAAGGCCAAATGCAATATGAAGAAGTACTTGATAATATATTACACTGAAAACAAGTGACACAATGTAATTTGATGTAGATTTTGATTTTCATTTATGTTACATCGACACAGTATAGGTCATATGGCAACATTCCAGCTTTACTGGTAAACAAAGACCTTAGGTGCCTTTGCATACATTATTTCAGGCACGAATGGGCACCTGAGTAGAACCACTGATGTTCCGTAAGCTAGCTAGAAAGCTTCCTCACATGGAAAAATCTGTAGTCCCTTTAGGAATTCAAACCCACCGCAGTGAAGGGCACCAATGTTATGTGATAAAATATGTTTCATGAAGTCTTTATAAATTGCTCAAAGAAATATAGTTATAATTATAAAAGTAAATAAAAAGAAACCTACCTGCATACAACAGTTGTCTATAATCATAGTATCAAACTTTATAGAAGGATAATACTGTGCCACTTCTTCACAAGACTTTAGGAATAAACCATCAGCAAGTTTCCTACAACATCAAACATTTCAATTCAAGAATCACACAAATAAGAACAGACACCTCTGCACTAAAAGTCATACTAATCACATAGACTAAATCTTTAATGCTTGAAAGAATTTGTATATCTTGTAAAATATGTTTTGCGTTGTGCTTGAGGCCTATAAAGCAATAAAAGGAAATTGTAATGTAATGTACTGCCATTCAGAAACAGAATGTCTTGAAATAATCTTGTATATATTTGTGAAAATCCACAAATTAGCTAGCTTACATGATGTTTGCTTTATGCACAGCTGTGACCTTCTTCCTGTCGTGTCTGAGGGCATAATCAAATGCAAATTTGGCTATTCTTTTAGACTTAGCACGAGTAATTATCTTTAGAGATTCTACAACTCCTGGAACACTCTGAAATGTACAAACGGTACAAATCTTATAATTAATATTATTATATGTTTTCATACCATAAATCCTTAAATACTTAAACAAGAGTGCCATGATGGCCCTGAAGTCGCTCACATGTATATAGGCCCCCGGAGCGGGCCAGTTTAAACCCTAGGTCTTTCATTTGAACCAATTTGGAAGACATCCATAAGAAGATGTTTCATGATGTTAAGTTTTTACTACACACATAATAATGAAAAACAATGACTCTCCCCCCCCCCCCCAGCAGGGCCAATTTTGACCCAAGGGCTTTAATTTGAACAAACTTGGTAGACACCCTTAAGAAGATGTTTCATGCTAAACATCTAAGCTCTAGCTCATTGGGTTTTTTAAAAGAAGATTTTTAAAGTTTTTACTATACACATATAGTTAAAAACAATGACACTCCTGGGGCGGGGCCAGTTTTGACCCCACAGCTTTTATTTGAACAAACTTTGTAGACACTTACTAGAAGATGTTTCATGCTTAATATCTAAACTCTAGCTATTTGGGTTTTTTCAAAGAAGATTTTTAAGTTTTTGCTATACACATATAAGGAAAATCAATGACCCCCGGGCCGGGCCAATTTTGACCCCAGGGCTTTTATTTGAACAAACTTTGTAGACACTCACTAGAAGATGTTTCATGCTTAATATCTAAACTCTAGCTATTTGGGTTTTTTCAAAGAAGATTTTTTAAGTTTTTGCAATACACATATAAGGAAAATCAATGACCCCCTGGACGGGGCCAATTTTGACCCCATGGCTTTTATTTGAACAAACTTGGTAGACACCCATAAGAACATGTTTCATGCTAAATATCTTAGCTCTAGCTCTTTGAGTTCTTTAAAAGAAGATTTTTTAAAGTTTTCACTATATGCATATAGGGAAAATCAATGACCCCCTGGGGCGGGGCCAATTTTGACTCCAGGGCTTTTATTTGAACAAACTTGGTAGACACTTATTAGAAGATGTTTCATGCTAAATATCTTAGCTCTAGGTCTTTGGGTTCTTTAAAAGAAGATTTTAAAGTTTTTACTGTATGCATATAGGGAAAATCAATGACCCCCTGGGGTGGGGACAATTTTGACCCCAGGGCTTTATGAGTGGTTTATGAGGAGATGTCATTTAAAGTAAAAGTTTACGGCCGGCCGGACGAAAAGCGATCACACAAGCTCACCCTGTCACAAAGTGACAGGTGAGCTAAAAAGAAACAATATTGCCTATAAGAACTAGTTTGTTTGTTTAGTTTAATTGGGTTTTATGTCACACCAACACAGTATAGGTCATATGGCGACGTTCCAGCTTTATTGGTAGAGGAAGACCTCAGATGCACCTCCGTGTATTATTTCAGGCACAAACGGGCACCTGAGTAGAACCACCCACTTTCTGTAAGCTAGCTGGATAGCTTCCTCACATGAAAGAATCCAAACTCCTTGTTGGGATTTGAACCCACAGCTGTGAGGGGCTAGTGGTTTGAACTTAACCACACCCCCATAAGAATAAGTTCCAACATATAACTTGAGTTTGAGAATATAAATGTGCGTGTAATACATATGGATCTTTCACACAAAACAAAAGTTCAATTTATTTCATGCTTTTTAACAGTGATTTTGCAGCATTACCTAATGCATTGTTAATATGCTTCCATCAATCAGGCACATATTTATTGCAAAAGAGTGTATTTCTGCAAAAATTTCCAGACATGTAATATTATATTCTTTCTTCTGCATTCAACTACAGATTGGTTACAGTGAAAATATATGTTGATTATTTCACAGTTAAAATATCAGAAAATAATTCATTGTAAATAGTTACATTTCAGAGATCGACTGAAAATCTTGATATTTATTTTCAATAATTTACAGTGAATTTACAATATACATGTAATTCTTTGTTGAAAATGTGTTTCAGTTATCATCTGGCCCCATGTTCACAAAGTTTTCAGGATCAGGATCAAATCTAAAAACTCAAATATTCTCTATTGTTTATTCTAACACTCACGTGATTTTGTCACTTTAGACAAAGAAGGAAAAAAACTGGTGTTAAACTGCCAATAAACACCGGTTAGGGACTACTTGTATATGCGCTATTATGTTTTTACCCTCGATTGTATAGTTTACAAAGCATTTTAAAGCAACAATAAAAAGCATTTTTATTTATATTTTCAGTTCGTATAATGTTTTCTTTTCATACAATACCGAAATAATATATCACATACACTAACGCCTCATATTAGATCCATATCAGTTAATAAATATTTTGACAAAACGGCGCCAATCCGTAAGCAGCGTAATGACGTCATTCTAAGTAAACAACTCATTCATAAACAAGCTGACGTTATTTCATACATACAAGATTGATAAATGGGGCACTGATGTAAACACAATACGACGTAAGTTTTTGTTGTTGAAAACTTGATAAAATAACGTTTTTTTCTTATTATTTCTTTTGTTTGATAATTTCTATATCTTCGCAACAGTAGGGTGCGAAAATCGAACAGCTTATACGAAAATCGGCGCCGGAAGTTATTTCCGCTTGAAAAATAACATTAGTGATTTTCCTTATTTTATCGTGTTAGAATCGAAATAACATTGGCCGGAGAGGTGTATATCGGCTATTTAACACCGGTTTTGTCGTTTTGATGCGACAAAATTAACCACTCAGGCCTACGGCCTTCGTGGTCAATTCCTACGCATCAAAACTCCAAACCGGTGTTAAATAGCCGATATACACCTCTCAGGCCGATGTTATTTCTTAATCCTCATTGATTAAATATTTCATATTAACATGATAAAACTGTGTTTGAAATTTTTGAATAAATTTATTGTTATTTTTGCAAGATATGGGTATTTTACAGTTGATCCAAATATTGATCTTGATCCTAAAATTGATCCTTATTTTGATCTGATTATTTTTGTATTTGTTTTGTAATTGATTTTATCCCAAAATAAGTTTGTTTCTTTGCAAATCAGCAATTGTTTACATTTTGAATATGTACCATTTTAAGTTAGCAAAAAAAAGATCAATATTAACAATGAAACAAGAGCGATCAGTAATCACATGTGTCGCCTCATGATGGCCAATTTCATGTTGGGACAAATTTTGTGACAGACGAACAGACAGACGAACAGTGCACAACTAGACATGGTACTGATCATTCCTGTAAAGTTTGGATAAAATTGCACCAGTAGTTTATGAGAAGTAGTCCCGACAAGCTTTTGCGTATCTGGCAACACACAGAAAAAAACACCTTTTTATCAAAGGGCCATAACTCGGCCAAAAATCATTCAACCGGAAAACCCGTGCAATATGCGCAAGGACTTGAGCTACAGATCAATCCTGTAAAGTTTCATTGAAATTGCATTAGTGGTATAAGAGAAGTAGTCCGGACAAACTTTAAAAATAAAAATTATTAAAGGGCCATAACTCAAACAAAAATCATTGAACCGGAAAATGCTGACAATATGCACAACTAGACTTGGTACTGATCATTCCTGTAAAGTTTGGATGAAATTGCACCAGTAGTTTATGAGGAGTAGTCCGGACAAGCTTTTGTGTATCTGGCAACACACAGAAAAAGAAACCTTTTTATCAAAGGGTCATAACTCGGCCAAAAATCATTCAACCGGAAAACCCGTGCAATATGCCCAAGGACTTGAGCTACAGATCAATCCTGTAAAGTTTCATTGAAATTACATTAGTGGTATAAGAGAAGTAGTGCGGACAAACTTTAAAATTAAAAATTATTAAAGGGCCATGACTCTGACAACTAGAAATGTGTCCATAGGACACGGGTGCCCCCACCGCGCCACTGTTCTGTCAATCTTTTTACTAAGTCAAGGGAAATAACTCTACAAATATTTGATAAATCCACAAGCGAAACCCCAAGTGCAAATCTAAAATATGCCGAGCAACCTGCCCATAAGGTTTAATGACTATGTCAAATCCAAGTTGAAAATTGCAAAAATTTTCTAAGTGAAGGGCAATAACTCTAAAAATACTAAATAAATCCAGATGTAAATACCTGGTGCACAACTGCACATGCTGATCAATATTTCTGTAAAGTTACATGACTCTAGGTCAAACACTTTTTGAGTTACGTGCGACACAATTGTTGAAAATTGCCAAATTTTACTAAGTCAAGGGCAATAACTCTGAAAATACTAAAAATATCCACACGAAAATACCCAGGTGCACAACTACACATGCTGATCAACATTCCTGTAAAGTTTCATGACTCTAGGTCAAATTCTTTTCGAGTTACGTGCGACACAAGTTGAAAATTGCAAAATTTTACTAAGTCAAGGGCAATAACTCTGAAAATACTTAAAATATCCAGACGAAAATACCCAGGTGCACAACTACACATGCTGATCAACATTCCTGTAAAGTTTCATGACTCTAGGTCAAATTCTTTTTGAGTTACGTGCGACACAAGTTGAAAATTGCAAAATTTTACTAAGTCAAGGGCAATAACTCTGAAAATACTAAAAATATCCACATGAAAATACCAAGGTGCACAACTACACATGCTGATCAACATTCCTGTAAAGTTTCATGACTCTAGGTCAAAAACTTTTTGAGTTACATGCGACACAAGTTGAAAATTGCAAAATTTTACTAAGTCAAGGGCAATAACTTTGAAAATACTAAAAATATCCAGACGAAAATGCCCAGGTGCACAACTACACATGCTGATCAACATTCCTGTAAAGTTTCATGACTCTAGATCAAATACTTTTTGAGTTACGTGCGACACAAAAGTGAATGGACGCCACTAATGTGGGGGCACAAAAATCATTGAACCGGAAAATGCTGACAATATGCACAACTAGACTTGGTACTGATCATTCCTGTAAAGTTTGGATGAAATTGCACCAGTAGTTTATGAGGAGTAGTCCGGACAAGTTTTGTGACGGACGGACGGACAGACAGACGACGGAGAAGTGATCCCTATAAAAAAAATTGAACACTGGGCCTGGATATTATAAGAGGTGATCCACATGCCCATTAAATGTGTTTGGTGGGCAGAACTCAAGTTTTCAAGGAGCAGTGCCACTGTGAAGGCTGCTGACTTTAGGTGAAACAACTACCGAGATATGGCCGAGGATACAGTCTTATGACAGACAGGCAAAAAAACAAGAACTGTCGGAGGACAGTAACACTCGACTATTCGAAAATTTGTCACAAGGGTGTTTCATTGAGTATAATAATGCTTACCTATATGAATACATAAAATTGTCCGAAAAGGTACAAACCCTTCAAGTTTCATTACATTCCCTTCAGTAGTTATGGAGATACAAGCTTACACACAAAAACTTAACCAAGAATTTATGAATCGAAAAAGGGACATAATTATGCGAAAAAGTAAATCAGAGTTATGGGACTTGTGCCAATCATCTTAGATAATCACAGACAACAAGAGTGTGAAGTTTCAATCCATTCCCTTCAGTAGTTATGGAGATACCAGCTTACACGCACAAACTTAACCAAGAATTTCTAAGTCAAAAAAGGGGCATAATTATGCAAAAAAGCAAATCAGAATTATGGGACTTGTGCCAATCATCTAAGATAATCACAGAGACCAAGTGTGTGAAGTTTCAATCCATTCCCTTCAGTAGTTATGGAGATACCAGCTTACACGCAAAAACTTAACCAAGAATTTCTAAGTCGAAAAAGGGGCATAATTATTTAAAAAAGCAAATCAGAGTTATGGGACTTGTGCCAATCATCTTAGATAATCACAGAGAACAAGTGTGTGAAGTTTCAATCCATTCCCTTCAGTAGTTATGGAGATACCAGCTTACATGCAAAAATTTTACCAAGAATTTTTAAGTCGAAAAAGGGGCATAATTATGTAAAAAAGCAAATCAGAGTTATGGGACTTGTGCCAATCATCTTAGATAATCACAGAGAACAAGTGTGTGAAGTTTCAATCCATTCCCTTCAGTAGTTATGGAGATACCAGCTTACATACAAAAACTTAACCAAGAATTTCTAAGTCGAAAAAGGGGCATAATTATGAAAAAAAAAGCAAATCAGAATTATGGGACTTGTGCCAATCATCTTAGATAATCATAGAGAACAAGTGTGTGAAGTTTCAATCCATTCCCTTCAGTAGTTATGGAGATACCAGCTTACATACAAAAACTTAACCAAGAATTTCTAAGTCGAAAAAGGGGCATAATTATGACAAAAAGCAAATCAGAGTTATGGGACTTGTGCCAATCATCTTAGATAATCACAGAGAACAAGTGTGTGAAGTTTCAATCCATTCCCTTCAGTAGTTATGGAGATACCAGCTTACATACAAAAACTTAATCACAGGGACGCCGCCGCCACCGCCGACAAATGGGTGACTGCATTAGCTCAATTATTCTGCGAATAGTCGAGCTAAAAACTGTACACCTCCCATTTTATCAATCTAGGGGCATACAAATTATTTTCCATACCTCATGCTCCAATGCACTGTATTCACCTTCAGTTTGCTCTCTTATGATAACAAAGTCAAGGTTATTGTGTCTTGTTTGGTACCCTGGTAAACTTTTTACTAATACAACATTAGCATATAGATCTAGATCTCTCCTGAAAAAATCGAAAGAAGACCTTACATACAGAGAAAAGGTGATGTCAGTTAGCTTTATCTAAATAGAGAATAAATTATAGAATTTTTTTGTACTTAGACATATACATGTAATTTACTATAATTGTTAGATTTTTAAATACACATTTTTTATTAATTTAAAAAGACATACAAGAATAATTGCTTGAGCATTGCCTATTATTGCATTGACTTCAGATTCTGCAATAATGCTTCTATCTAGATAAGATTATAACTTTAATATCTCACTGTGTTTTTCACTTTAAGGGAATGGTGGCTGGCTATACTGAGGGGAAAATTACATAAGAGGGAAAACAAGGGACAATTTACAAACAGAAAAAATAGTCAAAATGTATATCTTTTGAAATGAGGAAAGGGGGCAAATTTCAACCCAAAAATAGCCCTAAAAAGCACTGTCTAGAGGCATCAATTTCTAGAGCTTATGTTTAAATTACATAATATCTTCAATTGATTGAATTTGAATTTGGAACAGTCCATTTGTTATTGCAAGGGGTTTCTTTATGAAAAAAAAATATATTATGCAGTAAACAGTATAGAATCTGGCCAGATAGTACCGTATGCTGGTTTGACTTTGTACTGGTGGACATTTCAGGACATTACCATCACCAGTATAGCCTTACCCATACATGCCATAACGTCCTGAACGACCGGGATTGTCCCGGAAATAAGTTATTTGTCCCAGAGATGTCCCATAGATGATTTATGTCCCGGTGAAAATAAAAATCTAAAATAATCTACTTTGCGACCAGAAATTTTAATTTTTATTAGGCAAGTTAAGGCTTACCTAATTTTCATATTAAGAGTTTGTAGCTCTGTTCCTTTGAATGTATGTGGTGACGATATGATACCTTTGAGCCCTACTCCATTCCGTTTAAATGATTCCAATACTGTCTCATAACTAGCACTTTGTGAGGAATGCACCTCGCTAATAACATAATAAAATAAAATTTTCATTGCAAATAAAGCAGGTGCTTCTGCAACCAGCATGTGACTATAAGAAAATATCTTTGTCTTTAATCAATAAAAATCAAATATCTCTAAAAACAGTTTACACCAATGACATAATATTTTTTTAATACAATCATGCACATCAATAAAAGTAGTCCATTTTTACATTCAGTATCTATGATTCATTCACAAATGAAATGTTACTAATTTTAAACAGTTTCTTCATTTTCTTTATCTTAATTTTGCCAATATATGTATTTCATGCAAAGTTTTTTTAAAACAATTTCTTAATATTTGAACTGTTTTTTTTTTACAGGTGAGCTAAACACTTACAATTACAACTCTCACACCTGACCATAACCGAATATTAAACATTATTTCAGGCACAAATCACATCATGAGTAGAGCCACCAACATTCAATAAGTTAGCTTTCTCACATGCAGAAACCTACAGCAGTGACAGGTTAGTGGTTTAAAGTCAACGACCTCAACCACGGACACGCCACTTGTCGAGCATAACAAAATGATAACAAACATAGAAATCGATGCAGGAAGTCAGAGATGATTTTCTACCTCAGAAAGTATTCTTCAAATTCCACAGGAGCCCCTGCAGTTTTGAAAACTTCCTGCATACTGGCCATGATTTCTGGGCCGACACCGTCCCCTGGTACTAATGTCACAGCATGTTTACCATCTGGCTTTGACACCTGCTCTGTCACACTCTACAATTATGTAAGTTAAAGTACATCTGTTGGCATAACCAAATAAGTATATTTTTCACAACAATAAAACTGTTGAAAACTCAGTCTTAAAAATTCCCTCAAACACCTTAACTATTCATGCCTATTAAATGTAACTTATAGTGTATATGGCTTTTTGTGGAATATTTTAATAGGTTTGTTAATTTTTTGTATTCAGTTTTTTTTAATTTTATTTTTCAAAGCAGCATACACCCAAAGATGAAATCACTGTTCACATACCTGAAAGCCTCTTTAACCCAAAAGAGGGTTTAATGTAAGAAAAAATACCATTTTTTACCATCCTGACCAATAATATCACACTAACCTTTTTGGAAATTGTTTGGTGAACATCTCTTTTCAGAACCTAAAATGGCAAAAAAAAGTTTATATATATTATAGCGAGCTTTACGGTAACGCAAGTACCTGCTAAGTGATGGTTTTGAAAACTTTCGTCCGAAGTACCTAATTGGACACATCGCAACTTTTCGAATTACAAGATAACGATAAAAGCCGATGTACTCTGATTGAAAACGGAAGCCTAGACTGGTGTCCTGCGCACTTATATAGGAACCATAATAGAAAGGGGGATGAACGATTATTTTTCAAAAAAATATCTTACGGTAAAATAAAATCGAGCTCGCTTTGAGGATTTGCCTTTTTCATATTATATAAAGTGTTTTTTTTTCTAGAATTACATTTTTACACTATCCCAACACTGTGCCAGGTCCCTTTGGTGAGAGTAGGTAGATCCATAGGTGTTCGGCACGTTGATTGGTCACTACCCCCGCCCCGCACCCCCACTCTACAGCCCTCCTACCTCTCAAATCATGTAAAATACAGTATTTTTCATTTGAAACATGTTTTAATATTTGGTTTATGCTTTTAATTCAATTACCTTCATTTCCCACAAAAAATAAAAAATTGATACATATATATTTAGTAAAGGTATGCAACTCGCCGCTCATTTTTCAGCACTCATCTTAATACGAAGCTTTGGCTTGCCCGGCTATAGACTACACGTGTATATTTAAAAGAAAATCAAATAAAAAACAATTAAAAAATATATACCCAGAGCAACAGATAAGCTTTAAAAGTGAATTGGGTATTACTCCATCATTTCCTTTGGAATTGGGTATTGGCTCCATTTAATTGGGTATTCCAAAACTCGATACCCTATGATTTCAAGATCAATTGGGTATTCAATTATGAAGATATGAATTTTATGGTTTCAATATCAATAAAATTAAATTTAGATATCTTAACTGTTTTAAAAAGAAAATAGGATTAACAATTTACTTGAACTTTTCACATTTGTTTTATTTTTTATATAAAATGCTCATGTTATATTTCATAATATTTTTAACAAGTTCGTTTTCTGACTGATTTTTGATTATTTGCGACTGTTTTGTTTCACATCATTTTCCCTTTTGTACGACGCCATATTGCTTTCCAAAGCGTCTATTGATATAGCTGGGACCTACTTATTGACGGTCTTCGCAAAATCAACGGTCTCTGCCGGTCTGTAAAGACCATCAACCTGAGTAGACAAATCGACGGTCTCATGCTTAGTCGGTCTTGGAGACCGGGGACCGTCGAAGACCGGAGACCGTTGATTTAAGTTGGCATTGTTTCGGGAATATTGGGATATTATGCATATCGATATAATTTGTCCAAAACTACGAGTGTATGACAGATTAATTTTGCGGTGATGAAAATGACAATACGCACAAGTTTTTAAGACAATTGCGTATTTTATTTTTTTTAATGATTTTTGATACGCATTCTTAAAATATCGATTGCGTATATTATAAAATTAATTGCGTAAATCATAGATATGCACCTTATCTGTTGCTCTGTAGCCCGGGTCTCCACGATACCGGTGTACATATTTTATACAAGGTGTTTTTCATATAAAAAATTATTGACTTGAAAAAAAGAAGTAATAAACAACTTCATTAACATTTAATCCTCTTTAAATTACATTACAGAGTTCTGTTACTCTGAAATTCTCGCTCATTGCGAATGTAAACAATGGTGGACCATTTTGTATGACTTAGTGAAACAGACTTCATGCTACCGGTACACTGGTAAAAAATGTTATTTTTATGGAAAGCCATTGCAGTTTTAATAGCAAATATATCATTTTAGCATTCTTGTATTCATATCTGAAAAAAACGCTTTAAAACAACATAAAAACGTGTGTTTCAATAATTTACTGTTCATCTTTTATGACTCCCAAGGGATCTCTGTTTTAGAATCTTTTACTCCCAATGACAGGTGTATATTATACAATGTGGCTGGATTCAAAAATCCCCCTCACTTAATTTTAGTGTTGTTGTGATTGTCTGGTCCTTTCGTATCATTGAATCAATTTTATTTCTATATGATGAAGATAAAATATCAATATGGCACTTTACACAGGCTCCCTTAAAAGACTGAATGAAACTGACTTTTTAATTTTCATAAACTATTTTATATGCACTAGAGTCAGTGTACCCGGTTCCGCACAGGACCCGGTCCCGCACACTTTCCAATTTTCATTTTTTCTTAAAAAAATCAAATGAATTTATTTAGTTTTCATTTGTGTTTCACTGAACTGGCATGTTTTCAACAGGATATGACATAATCTGGGATCTTGCACCCCAGCCTCTCCCTAGACAGTGCAGACGAAAATGTAAATACATGTACATGGCTGTGTAGGTCACACATAAAAACATCTTTTTCAGCAATTAAACCATGCTAATTTCTATTTCAATGTTAAGATATTTATAAAATATATATTTGAAAATAAATGTATGATTTTGTTTTGGCAAATTTGCTGTTAGTTATGAAATATATGCACATGATTTAACTTCTCCCAATAACCAAACATCAAGTCATTTCACCTTGATTCTTTTGTTTAAAATGATAACAAACTCTTAATCGAACAAGTCATAACTAAACAGATGAAAAAACCTTCAATAATAATGTTTTATGTCTGTGTTTACTATCTACAAGTGGTAAAAAAGTATATTTCAATTGCTGTTACATGTTTCCTGTGTGCTACTATGCTTGGAAATAAATGTTTGTATACTGTAGTAAGAATGTGCTTTAAATTTATTTGAACTCCTGAAAATTTGCAAAACAATATAACTTATCTGGACTTAGAGATGTTAAATAATTTATAAAACATGCTTAAGATGTACAATAACCTTTCATTATAAAAATGGCCTTGTGTGCGGATCCGAGTCCACTATTTATCATATTTGGCCCATACCTGTTGCTTAAAATCAAGTGCGCCTAGAAGTATGACCTACTTAAGATAGAAACGTTTCGGTCATCAGTTTTTATGGGCAAAGGATGTAATTTTCAAAATAATATCAATTATAAGAAGAATTTTTAACTATAAGATAATTTTCTTATTTTTCCTTAAAAAAGTGTACGACTCCGGGTACACTGACTCTAATGGCTTTCCATAGATTAATTTTTTCCCGCCAAAAATGATGTCAAAAGGTCAAGTGACATGTAATGGAGGTTGAATGACGTCAACACCTGTCATTTTTTATTTTCTTGGAAAAACATGTGTTTTGTAGAGAGACTAATTTATGCAATGGAAAAATAGGATAGTAAAATAAAAATAAGGTAGGATATGTGAAATATTTCCTTCAGAAACTCATGAAAATGTTTAAAAACTTAGAAATAGCCAATATTACTGGGAGCATGCCAATATAAACACTCGGTAGGTGGTGTTGACAAAAATATCGCGAGATTTGTGAATATACCGGTACCGTGGAGTCACCGGTATCGTGGGGTTCGAGTATATACCAATCAGTGACCAATCAACGCGCCAAACACCTATGGGTATAGATCTATGTAGGAGAGAATTGGCTTGGGGAGAATCTTAAGGGTGAGGATGGTAATGGGGAAATTTTTGTCATTGTCATTGCCTTGCAAAAATTTGCTTCAGTCTACTTTACCCCTCCCACTTTTCTCATAAATATAGTTTACCCCTCCCACTTTTCTCATAATTAGTTTTCAAGGACATGATAAATAGTAACAATATTACTAATTTAAGAGACAGACCTGCATAATTAAACTAAATAATTAACCATTTTTGCCTGAATAACAATAACTTGTAAACCATACTTACCAAATAAGCCAAATTTGATGCTTTTCTTCCTGGAGTAAATTTGGAAACACAGGACGCTGCCATTTTAGTTGTGACGTAATAAGGGAGATTCCATATTACAACACAAGAAAGTAACTACAAAGTACATATCATATGAAAACATTTCGTTCTGAACTTTGATTTTACAAATAATCTGCCAGAGATAAAATTATGTGTTTAAAGTAATTGATATCGCTCACTATTAAAGTTTTTTTGTTTTGTTATAATTTTTAATAATATATTTTATAACAACTCTTCCCTCATATTGAAGGGAGACAATTATTGCATCTGTCAAACTCTACTTTCAAGATGTTTTTATCGGCAAAGTCGGTCATAACTACGGTTAGAAAGGTAACCGGGGTTAAAGATGGTGTAAATAAAAACAATAAAACATTTTCCAAGAACATTTTTTATAAATTTCTGCATGACATTTTCCTATTTTTCATTCTGCCTTAATTGAAATATTTTCTGTTCAATTCGTACTTAGATAGACTCGTACCTATTTTCATGTTATCTCGTAACTTTTTTGATAATAATTGGTGTATGGGTGAGAACTGATGATTCTACATTCTCTGATCAATTATAGAACTCTCTGTGTATACCAAGTCCCTGTTTATATCACACACATCATCTTAACTGCTAATTATAATGTCACCAATGGATAAACATTGATAGCAGATTCCTGTGAATTTTTGTTGCAGTTACCAATCTTATGCAATCAGACAAGAACACTTCTCACATCATCATGTTGTTTGTCAGAGAAGAAAGACTTCAGCAGGTTTCCTGTACCGGCTTTGGACTCATTGCCAGAAGATGTGCAAGAAAGGTTTAATATTGTTACAGAAAAGGTTAGTATAGCTTTAAGGCTACACTTGATGACTATAGTTGCAGCTTGTTATTGGAAACAGTTTTAACAGTGTGAAAAGTGGCTGAGTGATTTACATGATGGACTACATGTAGTAATTTAAGGATTGCTGACGGCATGGGTTCAAACCCTGTCGGGGGGCAAGCCGTTGAAATATTTTATAGTTATTTTTATAATTTTTGGTCTGCTCATCTGTACTGACTTTGTATTATTTATTAGGATATAGGTTTGCAATGTCATATTTTGTTAACCAATTTCTTGTAAAATTGTTCTTCTGACATGACATATATTTTGTTAAGCTCGTTGACTTCAAACAACTTGCCCCTCACCGCTGTGGGTTCCAATTCCGACAGGGACTTTGGATTCTTTCATGTGAGGAAGCTATACAGCTAGCTTACGGAATGTCGGTGGTTCTACTCAGGTGCCCATTCCTGCCTGAAATAATGCATGGAAGGGCACCTGAGGTCTTCCTCCACGAGTAAAGCTGGAATGTTGCGATATGACCTATACTGTGTCGATATGACATAAAACCCAATTAGACAAACATATATTTTGTAAGTTTATCACCAGGTTTAACCAGCTGCAAGTGACATGTAAAATATTTGTGTAATATAATTGTATGTACATGTAGCAAACACTTTCATAGGTTGAATCTATTGCTAGTAAAATCTATGTACTCAATAATTCATTTAACCTTTAATGAGAACTCATGTCTGACAATTGTTTTTTGCAGTCTGGTTTTACACCAAATGTATTTAGAGGAATGTCCTACAGACCTGAGGAGTCTCGTGCATTCTTTAATTACTATGATGTTGTAATGAATGATAGACCAGGAGGTAAATGACCTTCACATTAAACATGTATCCATGGTAACAGAGAGTTCAGTGCCAAACCATTCTAACACAGTGAACAAACAGATATTTTACACAGCTTTGTTTAAAATTGTTATAATGTTAAGGGAAACGACTTTAAAACAGTTTTTGTGTTGCCTACATGTATTATGTTTAAGAGAAAAAATTCTAGCACAGTTTTTGTATTATCTGGAAACAATTTTAAGTATCTTTTTGTGTTAAAAAAGAAATTAAAATGTTTATTTAAAGTAAGTGATAATAATAGGTTTCCAGCCCAATAATACAAAGTAAATAAATTTGTATAAACTACTGTATTTCACTATAATAAACATACCTTTATTTCAGACATTTTTCTGTAAAATTCACTAAGGTAAATGGGGCTCATATAAGGAATGATATGTTATTTTTTTTCTTTATCTTCACATACAGGAAATCTGACAAAAGCAGACAAAGAAATGATTGTAGTAGCAACATCAGCTGAGAACAAGTGCCTATACTGTATAGTAGCTCATAGTGCACTTCACAGAATTTTTGCCAAAAACCCTTACCTTGCAGATCAGGTATCAGTCTACTTTTACTACATAGTAGATAAATACATTATAGGGAATATTACACAAATGTTTTACAGAGTATTACATAAATGAACGTCATAGGGAATGATGCACAAATATTGTAGGGAGTATTGCATGAATGGTACAATGCATCGGGAAAATTGCGCAAATGTTTTAGTGAATATTGCACAGATGTTGTAGGGAGTATTGCTTGAATGTAACAATGCATAGGGATTACTGCACAAATTGAAATGTTGCAGGGAACATTGTATAAATATTGTAGAGTATTGCATGATAGTTACAATGCATGGGGAATATTGCACAAATGGTATAGGGAATATTTCACAAATATTGTGGGAGATTGCATGAATGTTACAATGCATAGGGAAAATTGCACAAATGTTATGGAGAATATTCCAAAAATGTTGTAAGGAATACTGCACAAATGTTGAAGGGATTATTGTATAAATGTTACAATGTTACGTATAGGGAATATTGCACACATGTTATAGGGAATATAGCATACATATTATAGGGAGTATTGCATGATAGTTACAATGCACAGGGAATATTGCACAAATGTTACAGGGAATATTGCATTAATATTGTAGGGAGTATTGCATAATAGTTACAATGCATACAAAATAATGCAGCAAATGTTATAGGGAATATTGCATAAATATTAAAGGGAGTATTGTATAATAGTTACAATGCATACGGAATATTACATGTCATAGGGAATATTGCGTAAAATATTGTGCGGAGTATTGCATGAATGTTACAATGTATAGGGAATATTACACAAAATAATTACACATGACAAAATAAATATATTTATTTATTGTATATACATACAGTTCCTTTGTCTGATCTATACAGATTGCTGCCAACTGGAAAACAGCCGATCTCGATGACAGGCAGAGGGCCATTTTAGAAGTAGCCATAGATTTGTGCCATTGTAGACCTTTGACGGAAGAAAAATGTGAAAACCTGAAGAAAAACGGACTAACGGACGATGATCTATGGGACATTGGAGCAGTGGTTGCCCTGTTTGCTTTGTCAAACAGGATGGCTTTCACTATGAATCTAAAACCTAATGAAGAGTTTTATTTGATGGGGCGGGTGAAGAAAGAGAAGAAATAATATAGAGTGTTTCATTAAGAATATATATAATGTTATAAGAACAGTTCAGTATTAAGGTGGAATGCTTTTTATAAACTTGTGAAAATTCACCATTTCTTACAACTATTGTGTTTGTTAGGTTTTTTTTAAAGCCAGTTTGGACACATTTTTTGTACATCCACCTAACAGGCTTTCCTCATGGATAGTAACTACTGGATAACTAACCAGTTTTCACAATTTTTCCACAAGTGACTAACTACTAATCCCACTACTAAATTCATGATCTTGTGATGGATGGCAAAATTTCACAAGTGTATGATAAATGGCCAAGTTTCACAAGTTTATGGTTGATGGTTTATGATAGATGGCAAAATTTCACAAATTTATGATAGATGGCAAAATTTCACAAATTTATGATAGATGGCAAAATTTCACAAATTTATGATAGATGGCAAAATTTCACAAATTTATGATAAATGGCAAAATTTCACAAATTTATGATGGATGCGAAATTTCACAAACTTATGATAAAGGGCAAAATTTCACAAGTTTAAGGTTGATGGCAAACTTTCACAAGTTTATGATGGGATATTTTGTGTTAACTGTTCTATTTTTATGCATCTGTGATAAGTTTTTGTTTTGTACATTGTTAAATTTCTTGTGAGTAGACCATTAAAAAAAAGTCATTTTTGTATTCACAAACTTAAAAGCAATGCTTTGATTATGGTCTAAATGAAAAGGCATTGTTTGCTGTTTAAATGTACAAAATGTATATGTCACTTGATTTAGATTTTTCTGTTTGTCTACTTTATGTCCTTTTATAAATGCGATACAATCAATTTTTCAATTGAGCATGATTTATTTATTATTCACAGTATCACAACTTTAATGGCCCATTAAGCTAAAAATGATTGTAATAGTTTCATTTTTCAGAAGTTTAAATTTTGATGTCGTGTGACAGTGTCCAAACATTACATATAGTGCATGCAGATGAAGTGACTTTTGCTTCCTTTGTGTTTAGGCAGTACGGTTATAGTGAATCAGTATTGTGTTTGAAAGTTAAAATATATGGCCTTAATTTGCATTTTGCTACATTAATCAGAAATTGATGCTATTCAGTATTCAGGTGTACATCTTAAATTTCTTTATCTGTCATTGCAACATTATAAAACACATTTTCGCACTTTTTGCAGTCAAGGAAAAAAGGATATTTCTTTTTATTTCTGTGGCTTTAATGTGCTTTAATATTTTGTATTTTTTTGTTGTATGTATTTTAAAATTATTGTTGCTAACGTTTATTTGTTTGTTTCATTTTACGCCTTTTCTCCAACAGTATTTCAGTCATATAGGCGGGTAGTTTGCTAACCATCGTTCCTGGAGAGTTATTAGACTTTCCTTCCTCCATGCTAAACTACCAAAGCATCTCCCGGGGATTGAACCCACACCAGAGAGGTAATTGGATTAGAAGTCATCGACTCTAACCCCTCGACCACAGAGGGGGTAAACATAAGTGTCTATTTTATGTGTTGTTTTCATAATATATGTCATGTTGTCATGAAGATGTTATTTGGACAGATTTATATTTAGACATTAAAACATTATAAGTGTGTGTAGTAGTCTCTTTTTATTTCTTTTTTGATAGAGCACAACTTCTTACGCATATTATGTCCACCCTAAAACATCATCATATTTCTACCTAGTGTTTTTAACAGGATAAAGGCTATGGTTGTATACCGACTACTTTGGACAAAGATATTTTATAAATATATGGATTGTAAGTGCCTTCAAAGGAGCTAGCTAATGTCCAAGACCCTAAGATTTGAAATGCTTTCCTACTGATTTACTAGGGCACTTACAAGGGAAAACATTGCAAAAGATAAAAAAGAAATATAATGCAAATTAAAAAATGTCTAAAGAGTATTTTCAGTCCTGTCATATCAAAAATCCTTCTTGTAGAGTACCTATAAAAGGGTGGTTTTGAACCAGAAGTTAGGTTGGTTTCCTATTTAGACCAATGTTGCAAGCGATCCATCCCTGGTGGTGCCATATTTGATGCCAGGGCAATGATTAAATAAAAAACGTTTGCAGAAACAATTTTTTGAGATTAAATTTCCATTTGATGACCAATAAATTGTGTGCAAAATTTCAGATAATTCTCTCACTCCAGTTTTATATAATTATTATTCAAGTTGTGAAAAATAATTCAAATTTTCTGTTTTTCAGATTTTTGGACTTCACTGGAGTGCCTTTAAAGTCTTGTTTCCTATACAAATCAATGTGAAGTGAATGACCCTGCAGCTGGGCATTTTTTTGACCCCAGGGGCATAACCTATACAGCTTGTTTTACAGGCCCTCTGGGCAATGCTAAATGTCATATGTTTGCTCTAGAAATATTAGAAAGGAAGATTTAAAACATGTTTTCCTATGAAAGTCTTTGTAAACGTAATGACCTCGAGTTGACCCTGGGAGCCAGGTTTATACAAATAATGTACACAACCATAGGTTAATAATACCGTATAAGTTGTTTTTTCTGCGGGCTCCAAATTCTGCGGTTTTTCCAAATTATGGCACGTTTTTATTTCTGCGGACTTTATTTCTGCGGCACATTCTTAGGGCAACACGTGATTTCATTTCTGCGACTCTTCTTATCAAAGTCTAAGTCACATTACTGTATTTTATTTGCATGTACACATTCACATTTGTTTATCGTCGTCACCACAAAACTGTTTGCAAACAAATATAATGCACAACAATAGAATGTTATATTATAATCTTTTGATCAGCGTGAAATGACGTGTGAATATTATACCTTGGTTGTATCTTTAATTGAGCCGTGTCACGACAGAACCAACATAATGGGTTTGCGACCAGCATCCGCGCAGTCTGATCAGGATCCATGCTGTTTGCTTACAAACTCTATAACAAGTAGAGAAACCGATAGCGAACAGCATGGATCCTGATCAGACTGCGGGGATGCGCAGGCTGGTCTAGATCCATGCTGATCGCTAACCCATTATGTTGGTTTTGTCGTGACGCGGCTCAATTTAATTTTGGTGATGTTCATAAAATGTGCACTTAAAATTCGAGAAAATATGCTACGACAAAATGACTTATCATAAACTCTTTATTTAAATTTATTGCCGACTGTTTAAGGAGTTAATTAATTTGGTTGTCAACACATACCTTCATTTACGTAAATAATATTTATATTCATATTAATTTTATTATTTAATTGACATGACCTTTAAATTCAATGTTATGCATGTATAGATAATAAACTACATGTGTATGTTTAAATCTAAAATTTAATGAACGATATGTTCTGTTCTGTTTAATACCGTAAATCAGATGACAATTAAAGTATATGACGATTATTTAGCAGTATAAGGGTTGAAATAGTTTGTATGATTTAGTGATAAACAAACCTTTAGCATATCGGCAATCACTATACAGTATATGCTGGCAGACAGCAGTTTCATTCAACATGAAAATCCATTAACCGTTCTAATCCGTTAGTCGTTATTACTGTAGACGAAACAGATCATAATGCAGTACACAACTAGTACCAGATTAAAAAATATGGAGAAATATTCTGCTGTTTTTATTTCTGCGGTGCTGAAACTGACCGCAGGAAACGCAGAAATAAAGTCACCAAATAAAGTCACCGCAGAAAAAACCACATATACGGTACATGCCAAATATCTTAGCTTCGAGTAATGTAGTTTCTGGAGAGAGGATTTTAAATCTATTTCTAATACTAGTTGATGACTAGTTGAATGACTTGGGATGGACCATAATTAATATACACTGATCTGTTTTGTAGAGGTATGAAAACTACCTACACTAAGGGATTTTTAGTTGAGTAAATATTAAGTGACCCAAACAGTGTATAATTTGTATATTTTTGTAGCAATTAAATATGAAATGATCAAAGCTAAATATCTAGGCCGTAAGCATTGTGTTCTAAGAGGAAGATTTAGATGTGCTTTAATAAAGTCTTTATGAACAAAATCACCAGGATGGGGTCAAATATAATCCTGGGGCTTGATAATATCACTTGTAGAAGACCATGCCACTTTTTAGCCAGAAATCAAAGCTCTATTTTTAAGAAGTCCATGGTGGGACAATGGTCAGTCCCTAGGGGCATAATTTATACAACTTTTGTAGAGGTCTTCTAGGCCTTGTAGGCAATACTGTGTGTAAACTGTCTACATGTAAGCTCTAGGACTTGAAGTTCCAGAGCACATGGGCTGTTGAATTATTGATCTAAAACCGTTTTTACCTACAAGGTAAATGTGACCTTGACCTTTTACCCCTTGACCTCAAAATCTACAGGGGTCATTTACTGCTCATGACCAATGTACATACCAAGTTTAAAATTCCTAGGCCTTAGCGTTCTTTAGTTATTGATTGGAAACTGTTTTTACCTACAAGGTCAATGTGACCTTGACCTTTGAATCCAAAATTAAAATTCCTAGGCCTTAGCGTTCTTTAGTTATTGATTGGAAACCATTTGGTCTACGGACCGACAGACAAATGAAAAGCTATATATCCCAACATCTATGCGGGTGTGTGTGGGGGGGATAGGGAGGGCATGATAAATCATGGATTATGATGCATAACAGGTGAACATCAGTCACATCATGCTGTCACAAAAGTTAACCTTGTAGCACTGTACGCATTGCTGAGCTTATGAAATTGAAAGGTCATTGTTAAGTTCCTTTTTTTTGCATTTATTATATATTTGAAAACATCATCACAAAACATACTCACTAAAACAACAGTATTTATGTCCATTACATGAATCATTACTACATGCCATACAAATCAAAATTACACGTCACACAAAGTAATATTGCATGTCACACAAGTCTTTATTTCATGTCCCACAAAGTGATATTTCATGAATTATGAATAATCATCATCATCGTCCTCTCCATTATTGGCGCTTTGTTGTTGCTGTTGTTTGTTGTTGTTGTTGTAGTGCTTGTTGCATCTGCTGCCACTGTTGTTGCTCTAACTGAGCCTGCTCTTGTCTTGCCTGAAGTGTACAGAGAAAATTCTCATAACTTTAAAGGCACATAATGCCTCAAATATTCATTTAAAAATTATTTTTTTAGAAATGTCAAAACACGTGTTGAGTAACATGTAAATAATGGATTAAAAACATGTAAGTTGTTTTTGAGAAATAAGGCTAAATGAGCCAAGAGTGACAATCATTAAATGTCAGAGGGGCATATTTTAATAAGTGACAACAACTCAATCTAATTTTAAGTACTCAACGTTACATCGTATAGTTGAGTACTATTGTCCTTACGGACATTGTATAACAAAACCGGTTTGTCACGGTTCGTGAATAAGAGTTTATGTTTGGCGGGTATTGATTGTTGAAATCAGTTGTAGCGAGATTTTCTACGTGGCAATTTCAAATTCAATTTCAAGAATGATATCAGACGTGTAGTACCTTTGGTGATATTAATTTTCTTTTTTAGCATGTTCGGAAATGTTCCGTGATTCCTTTATCCTGAGGAATGAATTTAAAGTTTTACGTTTAAATAAACTTTAACGTGCATGCCACGGAAACACGTTTCCCCCTACAAAGTAGGTTAGGTTGTTCGTGGGCGGCTGTCATTCCTAAGACGGATTTGCGATCAATTTTGTAAAAACTACATTTTTCATAAATTTGTTCGGAACATGCTTGTTAACGTGACCTCTTAATTTTGCAAAGGGTCAAGATAATGTTATCTGTCAATCAAAATGTTATATATTGAAAGACAAAATAATACAGATTATTATTTTCATATCCGTGTATTAGATATATACTGTTCAGTAGGATGTGTATTCCTCCATTGTCTAAGTTTTGGTTTACATAAATGTGAAATATATGTAACATATTTAGTCGTGCACATACAATAAATAAGCATTTCTCTCGCAAACGCATAACAGAGTTGTTATTTCTTTGGTTTTTATAGGAAAGATAGTTAGGACTAATGATTTGCATGTGAAAGTACATGACTGTATAATATTCTGTTGGAAAGATTATTGATTTTTCTAACCAATAGTCTATTTTCGCAAGATTTGCAATGTGCAATAAGATTTGAGCAGGTCAATTAAATTACATGTGATTTTGTATACTTGTTGTAAGCATGGCTCAGATGCATTGTGATTTGAGAGAGTAGCAAAGAACTTATTCATGTTATAGCAAAATTCAGAGGTTATTGGGTAAATGCATAATTATCAGAAATAAAAACGGATCTAGAGTTAGTTTATGGAGAAAATGCCCTTCCATATTGTACAATTGCCAGGTGGGCAACAATGTTTATGTAATGTAAAACTAATGTTAAGGATGATCCCTGCATTGGAAGCCAATTTTCGCTACCTCTGAAAAAGACGAACATAGTTGATGAAGATGCTAGATATACTGTGGACGAGATAAGTGGCATATCGGGCCTTTAAGTGCGATGTGTTTTCCATCTTGAAAGAAAAGTTAAAGTTATGGAATGTGTGTGCCCCTGGGATCCCACATTTGTTAACTTCTGACCAGAAAAGAGAGCAGGTTGAAAAAGCCTCGGACTTATTGACTAGGTTCAAAGATCGAGACTCTGGATG